AGAGTTTATCATATTTACATTACTGTGAAACTTTGGAAAATTTCATTTTCCAAAATCGTGGTAAAACTTAAAGACTTTTTGGTAAATAGCAAGAATCTATAATTTGAGCTTTAGCTTTGCACTTGTTGGGCATTAGGTGCAACATGGTAAAATTAACTACCTTCAAATTCAACTCTTGAAAGTTTGAAAGAGGAGAATGTTGTTTAAAAGTTCTGAATAATCTAGTTTTAGCATCTCATAGTCATAAATTATACCCTTATGTTTTAAAATGAAGAGGGTCAAGTTTGCTAAGCATATACATTACCTGCAAGCTAATATGTCATTTCAGAATTTTGTTACTCTTTTTTATTTTTGTAAATTTGTTTTATATTTTGTGGTGGAATCTGAAGAATGTTTAATTTTCTAACAGAGTGTTGGACTATTATTAGCCATGTTAGAAAGTCAGAAGGAAGTTGAGCATATTCTTCTCTTGCCATTGATGAAGCTTGATTTAGCAACTGTATTGGTTAATCTTTTGGCTTTTGAGATGAGCAAACTGACAAATGAAAGAATACCTGAAAGGTACAAATCTTTACCTGCATCTAAAGGGTTGGAACTTGGTGTGAATTTGATAAAATTAGTTTTTGATTTTTAAAAAGCTTTTCTAACTATTCTGTTTTTTCTGCTTTATGTTCAAAAAAGATTTCCCTTGTTGTCCCACATGTTTTTGAGTTTCAGGTGTTTAAAATTACCTGTCTTATCCAATTGAAATATTTGGGGAAACTGTTTTGATGAGCATCTATTTACCAGAAAGCTGATTTTGCATTGGTTCAAATCCCACATTGACAGAAGCCTTGTCAAAGAACAATTATAACATGCTCACAATCAAATTGACATGTGTATGCTGTTTTGGCTAGTGGCTAGAAGTCGTGATTCTCAATAGAATAAAACAGAGTCAGATACAACATGGCTGAGATTTACCAAAAACTTATTCTGTGCTTCAAGTCTTCATCTTTTAGTAATGTGATTAAGCTGTAGCATACCTTGTCCTTCTCACTTGACATTCTGGTCTGCAAGTGGCTTTGTGATGCTATAGAAGTGTTCATGAATATAAGGTATCATTGGATCAAAAATTATCTGGCGGCAAACTTTCTTTACTGACAGCTGCAAGTGCTTGTGTGAATTAACATGAGATAACCAACTTTTTCGTCTTTGTCTTCTTCTTCTTCTTCTGATCATTGATTGGACAAAAGTTAACAACCTCCTGTAAAACTGTTGTTTATGTGTGTAGATATTGGAATGCATTTGCCTGATGTTTGGTTTACATTCAATTTCAGGTACTCTGTTCTTGATGTTATTCTCCGTGCGCTTGAAGCCCTCTGTGTTATAGATGGATATTCTCAGGAAATCTGCTCAAATAAAGAATTTTTCCAACTAGTCTGTGACTTGATAAAATTCCCTGATAAAGTTGAGGTAATTTGCAGCTCTCCTACAACTGGAAAAACTGATATATGATTTAAACTCTGCATTAATAAATTATTGGTCATCTTGTCTTCCTCTGTTTCTGAATGCTTGAAGACTCTTTTAATTAAATTGCTTCTTGAAATTAGAGGCTATATTCTTTCCTTTTCATTTTTCATAAAATACAGCAAAAACTACTGTGCTTTGGTATTTGGAAGTTGTAATACAAAAACCGCATCAGCCAAACTTCTTACTTATAAGACTTCTGTATTCGAGCCTTATATTTGGGGTTAGAGATTTGTCGATAATTTTATGTTTTCTAGATTTCTAAATGCTCAGAGTAAAATATATCAAATTAAACACATTCTTTTCCAAGTTTAAGGAGTATGTCTTTCTTTCTGGTAAACAATAGTGTATCATGTAATAAACATCATTTGGTGGCTTGAGTTTTACACATTAAAGATTCTTGGATGTTAATTGACTAGCTCTTAATGTTTATCTTTCAGGTGTCCAACTCCTGTGTGACTGCTGGAGTTATAATTGCAAATATTCTGTCTGATGTATCTGATCTAGCTTCAGACTTATCACAGGGTATATGGTTTATGTTTGTTATCAGCACAAGCTTCTCTTTATATTATGACATTTTGCATAAATCTGGACTGCTTAGCAAATTTGTATGAGTATTGACACCTTGGGCCTTCCCAGATTTGCCTTTCTTGCAGGGACTGTTTGACATTTTCCCATTTACTTCGGATGAATTAGAAGCACGATGTGCTCTCTGGAGCATTATTGCAAGGTTACTAGTCCGAGTCCAGGAAGATGAGATGAGTGCCTCTGGTCTGCGTCAATATGTGTTCATTCTATTGAGCAAATCTGATCTGATAGAAGATGATCTTTTTGATCACCAATTTGATGAGAACAAGGAAAATGAGAGCTTGGCCACCTGTGGTAGAAGATCAAATGCCAGAACTTTTGCTGTATCCTTTTGATTTGACTTTCAAGTAACAAATCCGTTAATTCTGTTGAAGAAACACTATAGAACTGCCAATATATTGCGCTCTTATATTTAGGTACTCTTGCAAGATTTTTGTTTCCCCTGACCTTTGCAACAGCTTAAAAGGATAATCAGCATATTAAACAAGTGGAATTCTTTAAAGGATTCTGTTGAGGAGAAGCATGTGATGGAGGAACATGCAAATGATGAAAATATTCATAGATTGTTGGATTGCTGTCACAAACACACTGTGTAAGCTCCTTATCCTATTTGTAATTATTACTTGTTGCAGTGTTTAAAATGATGGTCCCAGACCTTTGGCCTCTCAATAGTATATCTAGTTTAGTTTCTTGTTTACGTTAGATGTGCTTAGTTTTATCATAATTTTGCAAATTTTTTTATACCCTACTTATTATCAGGTTCAAGTAAAAGTTTGGCTATAATTCCACTTATCAGCATAGATGAGTTCTAAATCAGGTAGTTAGGCCTGGTGAGACACCAAAATCAGATTTGGCACTTGAATTGCTGCTTGCATTTGCATACACTGATATGGCATGTCACTGAGCATGCCTTTGATCATTTCATGTTGCAGATCCGGTGCTGAATAATCATTATTAGGGCAATGTTGCATGAACAATCTCACCTCATCCTCGTTCCTTCATAATGAATATATGCTATCTAGACTCTCTAGTTCGAATTTGAGGTTCTGAATCACAGTGGAGAAACTTCAGTTCATGAACATCGCTTCACGGGAGAATATGATATCCTTGTGTTCCTGGAGAAAGAAGGAATATGGCCATGAGAGCAAACGCGGCAGGAAACAATCATTCCCTTCTATGCTGATTCTATAGACCGAGTCCTTGCAACGTTCTGCTTCCTCCAGAAATTTGTCAGCTTGGAATCAACAACTTCATGATCCCTGAGAGTTGGAAGGCATCTTGTGGGTAATATTTCACTACCAACTGTTTATGCCATTTAAGGGAAGGATTGTGTTTTCACATTAAAAGATTCGATGATCTATACCAAACTAGTTTACTTTACTATTCAAGGGGACGCAAATTAAAAAACAAACCTAAATCAGCTGAATCCACTTGCTTCTTGCACGTTATCCTTTATCAAATTTAATATAATTCAAAGAACAATGAGAATTATAGAATTAACTTAGAAGGAGAACAATCACCTTATTTTTTCGTATCATGTTTCATTATTATGCAGTCAGCATTTGACATTATTGAACTATCTAGCAGCTTTTATTTGGAGCACAAGGGTTAATCAAATCCTCTTTATCTGCTAGTGGAAGTCTCTTAAAAGTTGTGTATTTTTATAGTAATATGCTAGTTGAGATTTCGAACTCCTAGTAATTATTGAACAATGATCATGTGAAGAGTTTAGACTTTCATTGCACACATGCATTCACACTTCACCAGCAATGGTGGAGAAGACTTCCCCACCCACTTGCTTTCACACGATGACTCCCGAGCTTCCTTTCCTCTCTTTCTAATACCTACCTTTGGTAGAGAAGGGAAGACAAGGGAGGAATTTTTTTTTTCTTTTATCTAAGCATTAGACTAGTGGCATGATATAATTTCTTTAAAGTTTATATTTAATGTATTATTGTTGTATAATTCTTACCTTATATTGAACCACAACTTGCCTTCTAAATAAAATGAAAATTTATTCTTAAAAATTAAAAATACATTAGTACATAGATTAGTATACTTTTTAAAAATAATTGCCAACTATTCCAATAAAATAAATAAAAATGTGAGGTATAAGGCGAGGTCTTCTACGTTATATATAGTAGTGTTTGAGAAGTGGAAAACGATGCAGCAGCATTCTCAACCAACGATCTAGAGGTAGAAGGAAGAAAAATAAAAGAAAAAATCATGGATTGGCCGCATAAGGGCAAACATGATCATCTTCATCCTAATGAAAATTGGAGGGATGCAGATTCTCTGACATCGGAAGAAGTTGCTGCTCATTGCTTCAGACATTTATCTCCTGATGCCCAACTGCTCGTTATTGGTTAAGTTCTTAAGCGATTCACACCAGGGAGCCAGGGTTATCACAAAAATGTTTTTGCCGGAATCTCTGTGCAAAGCTACCATCTGGCTCCGGCTCCAGGACGAAATATAAATGGAAGCAGCTTGCCCCAGGTCACTTGGACAAGTGATCCACCCTAAATGTTTTTAGTGATTGCTCTCTTTTTCAGAATTTCCCATCTAAAAGGAGAGTCAGGTCTGAGTTTGTGGGCTAAGTGTTCTCCTTGTTATTGATTCGAGGGGCGAGCATTAGTGGTTTAATAAATTGTCGTCCACATGGAAATAAAACCCAAAGTTATTGATGTAACTTTCTAATGATTCAATGCTTCTTTATTAAGATTAGCGTTATATTTTCATGCAAATCTTTTATTCACTTCCAATGTAAAAAGTTTCACCTTCGTCTCTTACCAAATTATCATCTAATCATATTTCATGATCGAACGCGTAAGTTGGTAAATTTCAGCCAGATATGAAGCAGAGAATTCAATGCATTATTTCTTGAATAAATCTAATTGGCCGCATTATTTCAAATTCGAAAGCATAGAATTCTTCCTTTGCTTCTGGAAAAATGACTGACTGCAGACACAAGGTTCAAAACCAGAGTCTTAAACATAATTTGTGAAGGGAATTGGTCATAGGCAGACTATGCTTTACAACGTAAAGAACAGCATAGGGTATAAACCACAACAACAAGAAGCAAACGTAGCCTGCCTCGAATACAGAAAAAGACTTAAAATCTAGGAATGATGGAGAAATATTCAGCTTCAATAAATGACAAGAAAATTTATCATTTCCTCAGCTACATGCCATTATATTCAAATGCAGTGTTTAGAACTAGCATTGGAAACACAGTCGAGCTCCTCAGCCAACTAAACTTGTGGTGTGTAGGAGACGTAGAACTGGATTCTTCATATGAATTCTTCAATAAGGGGCTGGTAGAACAATTTGTAAGCCTCCAAAACTTCAAGATACCACATCGCTTCTCGATCCGGGAATTGAGAAAGATCAACAATCTTATGAACCTATTAAGCAATGATCAGAATGTGTGAGAAACAGAGAAATTGCATTTCATCGTTAGATTATACACAACATCTTCTCATGCTTCCAATTAAAATGGAAGAAGAAAACGTTTTCTTTTAATCATGAAATGAATTAGAAGAAATTAAATGGGAAATTCAAGTACCTTAATAACAGGGAGGTCACCCGCACGGACAAAATACCCTCCCACCACCATCACATACATACCTGAAAAACGAATGCAGCCGTTTCAATAAAATGCACTTATCATAAAGCAGTGGTGGTTGGGGGCGGGGGGCGCGGAACAAAACAAAACCTTTCTTCCATTGACGTTGACGGAAATCGCCGGAGAGGCTCAGCTCAACAATACCGGTGCCGTCATCGAGAAGCAGGCGGTCGTCATCGTCGTTTGAGACCAAAATGCCCTGTCAAAATTTTTTTTAAAAAAAAAAAAAAGAAAGAAAAGGTAAAATAGGGGATTTGATAAAAGGAAAGGAAAAACGGTAGGAGAGAGTGGAAAAGACAGAAGACCTGAAGCCAGGCACGTTGGAAGAGAATGCCGCCCAGAGTCAAGGCGTTTTGAGAAGGAGTTTCTCTGGCATCTTTCAGTTGCCCGCATAGCAGTTTCAGTGCTGCTAAACTATAGTCCATCTCTTCCTTGTAGGAATCAGGAAAGTGATGTATGACTTATTAGACTTGAAGAGGCCACGGGCAATATTTGAAATTCTTGCGGGTTTAATTTTATTTTATTTATATATTAATTTATTGATTGGTTTGTTTATTAAGTAATTTTTTTATATGATTTAATACATGATTATGATTATAATTGGTATTTATACATGTAATTTCATAAAGAAAAGAGAAATTGATGATTATGAAATGATTGCCTCAAAATTAAATTAAATTAAATTAAAAGATGATTAATTTTGTTAAAGTATCTTAGTTAAATAAATTATGAGCTGATTTAGTTGATGAATTCTTTTTTTTTTAGGATAACTTTTGCTTGTATCTCTATAATTTTAATTTTTTCTCACATGATATTTTGTATTTCTTTTTTCAATTAATATCTTATGGATATTTTCTTTGTCAATTAGTACCATGTGGATAATTTCTTGTTTTCATTACCAGTTAAGTTGTTAATTTTGTTTCATAAATTATAAAATATGAACTCAATTTTGAATTGATGGCCTTAACAAACAGAACCCCAAAGGAGAGAAAAATAGTTGAGAAGAAGAAAATCTAAGATTTGGGTTTCTCATTGGCCAAAAGAAACAGAAAAACATTTTATTGTGGCTGAGATGGATTATTTCAGACTACTAACAAATTATGAACACATGGAAAATTACAAGCTTTTGGAACCATTTCCCATTAACAGTTCAAGTGATAGATTGCAATGTAATGTAAATTATAAGTACATAACAACAAAGAGTTGAACCAAACTCTCCATGACACAACTCGAGTAGAGTTTTCCAGCGAGTATTAACCAAAACCCCTTCTTTATATTAGAAAATGAGAGAGATTCCACTGGTCAAGAGGTCATCAGCTAAAATCTTGTTTGCAGCCTCTGATGGATGGAAACCATCCCAGAAAACGTATTCAGATGCATTTGCACATGTTCCAATGGACTCAGGATTGCACAATATTGATGTTTCCAGCAGCCCAGTTCCGCAGCAAGCCTTTCTTGCCTCTGCAAAACCTGTTTAGACAGTGCTTAAACTATCAGTGCCCTGCCCTGCCCTGCCCTGCCTGGAGATTAAACTTTAACTAGATCAAATGGTAAAGAAATGATAACGTACCATTCTCAGCAGGCTTTGTGACAAGGTTGAAGAGAGATTGGTAGATGTCAAAGACAACCAAATTGAGCCCAGAAAGCTTTTTCTGCAACCTTTGAGATGTGGCATTGAGTTTGTTGTTGAATGAAACTGCATTGCTATTTAACTTAGCCACACACTTGTTGCTATCAGAGCCAAAAACTGTGATGGCAGCTGGCAAGCACCCCAGCGGTGGCAATGCTGTCACTCCAATTTTCCTCGCTCCAAGCCCATACAAATTCTGTCACAAAGTAAGTTCTAGTCACCAGATAAAACCATATACTGGGGCAAGGATCTCTCCATTTAAAATCCCTTAGTTAGTGTTTTGACGGCTTAATTTGGTTTTGTGTTGTGAAATTAATTGTGTTCCCAGAGTTGCCACAAGCAAAAAGGATAATTAGTTCCAAAGATCATTTATATAATGTATGCAAGTCATCTTCAAGGTTAGATTTTCTTCATGTCTGTGTGTTTTTACTGGTCCGTTTTCACATGGAGAAATACTAACTTTTTAATTGAGGAGGAAAGGGACTAAGAGAGACCTGAATGAAATCAGCATAGGATTCAATGAGAAGATCTGAGAATTGGTCAGGTGTATAGGCCTTGTATAAGAGAGGATTAATGTAATAGTTCTGAAGAAAGTCACTGCTCCCAGAACTGATTAGGTAGATTCCACCAGATATTATTGAAGAAGCATTGGATTTCCCTGCAATTGCCATCAACTTATTCTGGTACTCCTTGTAGTTCTCCAATTGCTTACTCAATGAGAGTGTATGCTGCAAAAACAAAGAACAAATATTAACAGTATTGTACAGAAGTTAAAGAGAGTTTTTGGTTTCAGTTTTGCTTACATATAACTTTGCTGTAGTCTCATAGTAACCAGAAGAGGCTGATGCAAAGTTGGCTCCAATCAACAGGTTCTTTCCTTTAGCTTGTTTGCTGAGATACGCTGGTGGATAAGAAGTGAAGCCAATGTTCTCAGCTGTGTTTTAGAAAGCAAAACAAAAGACACCCTTTTAGAGAACATATATAAGGTGAAACAGTATAAAAGCAGGGACAGTTCCAAAATGGGGTTAAAGGGGTTATGGGATCAAAGACCAGTGAAGTCCGAGGCTAATTTTCCGTTGCAGAATCTTCCAGTTGGTTTGTTATTAACAAAGTCCCTTCCATAAGGAGGGAAATTTGCTTTTATAATGGTGTAGAGGTTGTTGTTGTTGCCAGCATCAACAACAGAATCCCCAAATATGAACATTGCAGGAACAAGAGGCTGTCCATTAACCATGGAAAGCACAAAGGCAAAGAGAATGAATGGAGCCAAGAAATAACTTGAAAACTTCATATTTTTTTCCATACGCTGGAGGCTATGAAGAAGAGTGGGTAGAAAAATGGGATATAAGGAGAGCTCGGAGGTGGCTTTGAAGAACAACAACTGGATAATAAAACTACAGTTCCAAGTAGCCTATTTATTTCTTTGCTGAGGCTATGCATTTATGAATCGGGGTGAAGTTCAATATATAGATTTGTTCCTTCACCATTTTATGATTGCCTCTCTGATTTGTGATATGGTAGTAACTATTTTATACATGAGTTCAAATTTTTTAATGCAAAATAAAGAAACAGTTTTTGGGTTTAATAGATTGTAGTAAAGAATTTTCTTGATTAAACAAGTGAGTTCAGTTACCATACTGCCAAATCTCTAATATCTAAATCATTTTCATGGTACAGGCGTGTTTAACATGTCCAAATCTTGGGATAACTTGAGCTAGGATTTGCCGAGATTGGTTTTCCATAATGGTCAATTCTTGACCAGAACCATCCCCTAGCTGTCACTTCTTTCTTTAAGTTGCCAATAATGCTGCACGATAAGTGGTTCATTTGGGAGATATGAGTAAAGCCAGTCTGGATAGTTTAAGAGGAGATTAATATATTTAACAATAGATCAGGCACCTAAATGAAATTAAACAAGAGCAAAAACAGACTGGTATATGGGCACCAAATTTTCCATCAGTCTAAAACTTAATGGAAAACCAAACTTTGCCCTTCAGTTTTCTTTAGCTGCACTGCAAGTAATAATGGGTTACAGTGTTATTTGACCTTTGAAAGAGGATTTACAATGTTATATCTGGAAATTGCCCATATCAAATTAACAAAAAAAGGAAAAAAAAAAGGGCAGTGGTTCCAACTAAACCCCAATGGCGTGTCTTCCAGAGTTTCATTCGTGGGCTGTCCTAGCTTCTGCTACACCCTTTTCAAGTTTTCATCTTTTGCCTAGATCAGGAAAAAGGGGTCAACCAAATAATGGCACTGGCATTTAGGAACAGGTAGCTGAAATCTTCAGTCACTGACCTTCCTTATTTTGTATTGTGTGCCCTTATTTCCTCCACTAGCAGTTCCACAGTCACTTTCAAATCATTTTACTCCTGTGAAGTTTTCTGATACAATTTTGGAACATGGCTGGCAGACAAAGAGATTGGACATTCTTTCTTACATAGTATTATTTAATAGGACACACTTCTGAATCAGGAAGAGCGGTAGGCAATGGAGAACTGGCTTCCACTGTATGGACAATGTAATCTTTTTCTTGCTATAGGCAATAGATTATAATGGTTTCTTGTTCCTTTTATCTCAAACTCCCATCCATCTAACTTTTATTCACTTGCTACGAATCAGAAAGAAATAGAATTACAATTATAAAAGTGAATTATTGCCATCCATCTGCATGGGGATGTAGCTCAAATGGTAGAGCGCTCGCTTTGCATGCGAGAGGCACAGGGTTCGATCCCCTGCATCTCCATTCCCATTTTTGGATAATTTTTGTTCCTGGCCATTGGCCATTTGTTTTTGGAACTATCTTGGCAAAGGCCAAAGAATAAATTGGAGTTTGGCCATAACTAGACAGTCCAAGAGGCTAGGACAGAAATGAAGACATAAAGATATAGATATGAATCTCATTGATAGGTTGAGTAGAGCTCATCCATGTTCCATAGGGTTGATGACTTAGCAAGGCCAAGGGGAAAAAGATGACTGTTCTCAACACAAGCATATGAAGGTTCAATAATTAAAAAAAAAAAAATGAAAAGAAAGGCATCAATGCAGAATATTTAAATACATCTTCTTTCCATTATTACTATTTGGTTACAGAAAAAGTGGCAAAATTACAACATTTAGAAGATGCAAGAAAATTTAGTACCCTACTTTATGCACCTTTCACTCTAGCACAAGGGCCAAAATGTTATGAATGATTTCCAGCAAGGTATACTCACCGGAAAAAACAGCAAGGTATACTCACCGGAAAAACAGCTAAGTTCTCTACCTGATCAAGTACCCTTAATTCCTTCATTCTGAGGGTTTTGCTCTTCAGCTAGTCCTCTCAGGAAATTCCCATCACCACCTTATATTCCCATGTTAGTTACTTCTTTCTGTTGTTAGCGCTTCTCTTTCTTCAATCTGCCTTACGACATCTCATTTGACAATGATAAAGATCATCAAGCTCTCTGAATATAATCACAACCGAAGGTTTTGTTGAGAATAATGCTTACAAGGCCTGGT